CCATTCCAGGTCGCAGTCAGCATCTCGGAGTCGTACACCTGGACCTGGCGCAACCTTTAAGGTGGGCTGGGTAGACGTAGTCAAGGGGGCGCGCCCAGGGTATGAGGAGGCCGCTTCTCAAGGCAAACTTGAAAAATTAGAGGCTGAAATAGCACAGTTAAAGCAGGTGTTAGCACAATTTGACCAGACATTGACAGCTTTAGGAGAGCAAAACAGGACCCCCAAGGAGGAGTTACACCACTATAAAAGAACTAAACATGCTCCACCAGTAGTACCACTGCTGTCAGCTGTTACACCCAGTGAAAAAATGGAGGAAGGTACAACACCACCGCCTCCCAAGCGCAGAGCTGAAACCCAGGCCAATGAAGACAAACCCGCACGCGTGACGCCCGAGAATAAAGTCCTGAAGGAAGTTCAGCAATCAGTCAAAGAATTAAATGGGTGGATGTGCAACGCATCCCGACTGATCTCAGCCCTTGCTGGCCGCGTAGAGACTATAGCTAAAGTTACCCAGCAACAAAACGAACACCTACAATAGCGACTCATCGCTGTAGAGGCTAGAATCACCCCTCTGCCACCTAGCGGACTGGACCCCACAGCGAATGTAAAGCAACCTTCCTCGTCGGCATTCAGTGTGATACAGCTGGCGACATTCCTACCCCCTGCATCTGATCATAGCTAGAAACCACGCCTACACAATTTGGTAATGGAATTGTAGAAGCTACGCGAATAAGCAAGCAAATCTTCACCAATACATTAAGGGGAAAGTTAAGCCCAATATCATTTTATTGCAGGAGACACATTGTCTCTCTAAATTGGCAGGCTACCGCTTCATCGGACACGCTAACGGGGAGACGACTGTTTTTACCACCCTAGTTAGACGAAACCTTAAGTTCACGCAACATGACACGGAAATTACCAATATAGACAATATGTTTATTGAACTCTTTACACAACGCAAGACACACGAAAGTCTTTTTATAATACACATATACAACAACCCTAAACAAAAGAAGCACAGATTTCTCACACTCTTTAAACGCGCCCTCAACATCGCTGGCCAAAATCCCATCTTAATAGCGGGAGACTTCAACGCACCGCACACTGCCTGGGGATACTCTTATGTGTTTCCTAAAGGTAGGAACCTCTGGTTTGACTCGCAGCAGGAGGGATTACTCTCATCACCAACCCTAGCACACCCACACGTGCGGACACTAACTCCAGTAAAGACACAACGCCTGATCTGACGTTCACGAGAAACACATCAGCAGCCACCTGGAAAAATACCCTAGAGGACCTGGGTAGCGACCACTACATAATCAAAGTACATGTTCAAGGCGGCCCACGTAAACCCATGGGAAAACAGCTAAAGTCGGTAGACTGGGCCCAGTACCGCAAATCACGTGAGAACCAGGTTCAACCCTTCAGCGACATAGAGGACTGGATACACGCGCTTGAACAGGATATTAAAAATGCCACCCAAATCGTACCTCCAGAGGCACACCTTGAAGATATTGATAGCCGCCTCCTCCACGTGTGGGAGGCAAAGCAATCACTCCAAAAAAGGTGGAAGACACAGAAACACAACAGTAACCTCAGGAAACACATAGCACTCCTCAACACAGAGATAGAGATGTATGCAACACAGCTAAGCCGGCAACACTGAGATGAAACCTGTGATGCGATGGACAGGCAGCTAAGTCTTCGTAAAACATGGCATTTTCTACAGTTCCTGCTCGATCGAGAAGACAGCGAAACCACCCAACTACAAACCATCAACAAAATAATACATTCTTACCAGGGCACCGACGAGGAGTTTCTTAGGGAGGTAGAGCTCAAATATATCTCTCAGGCTCCTACTCAGCAGCATCCAGATTATACGGGCCAGGTCAACACCACTCTAGACGAAGAATTCACCGAAGCGAATATCCGTGCCGCCCTACAAAAACTTAACACCAAATCTGTACCAGGTCCGGATATCACGAATAAGATGATGCAATATTTGGACGATGAGTCGATCGCGCATATCACAGACTATATAAATAACTGTTGGAACACCCGAATCTTGCCCCCGCAATGGAAAACGACCAAGGTGATTCAGATTCCCAAACCAGGCAAACCACTGAATACTGACAATCTTAGGCCCATTTCCTTAACATCTTGCATAGGCAAATTCATGGAACACGCTTTGCCGGCTAGACTAACAAATTACCTTGAAGACAATGATTTTTTCCCACACACCATGATTGGCTTCCGCGGGCATCTTTCAACGCAGGATGCCATGTTGCAGCTCAAGCATCACATCATAGACAGTACCGGACGCTCCACTAAGGGCATACTTGGACTTGATCTCAAGAAGGCTTTTGACTCAGTCACGCATAGCACCATTCTAAATCAGGTCAATACCCTAAACTTGGGGCTTCGCACGTACAACTATATAAGGGCATTTCCTACGGGCAGAACGGCCACGATCACTGTGGGAGCACTCAGGTCGTCCGAAATAATCATAGGAAGTGCGGGCACCCCGCAGGGTTCCATGATCTCTCCCTTGTTGTTTAACCTCGACCTCATTGGTCTTCCTTCAAAACTTCAAACCATCCAAGGACTTCGTCACACCATTTACGCCGACGACATCACCCTCTGGGTGTGCGACGGCAGTGACGGTTCCATTGAACAGAGATTACAGGAGGGGATTGACACAGTCGAATGGTATTTACAAGGAACTGGACTATCCTGCTCGGCGGAGAAATCTCAGCTACTGCTATATCGCCCTATACTTAGAGGTCGGCCACCCAAACAACATCCCCAAGCGCACGCACACGCTGATATAAAACTCACTACAAGCGATGGTCACGCCATACCCACCGTGAACAAAATCCGAGTGCTAGGTTTGATCATAGAAAGTAAGAGTACCAACGGAGACACAGTTCGTAACATTGAAGCCAGAGTGTCTAACATGATGCGCCTCATTAGGCGCACTATCAAACACAAAGGCATGAAAGAGGCTAGCATCATCCGTTTGATCCAATCATTTGTTCTAAGTCACATCACCTATACGGCGGCGTACCACCGATGGTTCACCGCGGAAAAGTCAAAACTCAACAGCCTAATTAGGAAAATTTACAAACAAGCGCTAGCTTTGCTTCAAAACACCAGCACCGAACTACTCCTTCAACTTGGTTTACACAATACCCTTGAGGAACTTATTGAGGCGCAATGAATCTCCCAATTCGAGCGATTAGCGAACACTAAGCCAGGCCGCCAGCTTTATGTAATCTCGGTATTTCTTACCACACTCAACACGGAGACAAACACGACATACCACGCACAATCCGTGCTAAGCTAACAGTACCACCCAAACCAAGAAACATGCACCCTGAACACAACAAGGGCAGACGTGTCAGTAGAGCCAGAGCCATGTCAAACATGTTTAGGCGCAACCACGAGGCAGTCTTTGTCGACGCAGCACGCTACCAGGAACGTTACCACTTCGTGGCTGCTGTCGTACACCACACACAACAATGCAAAAGCAGCGCGTCAATCATCACACGGAACGTAGAAACGGTAGAGGAAGGGGCTATCGCGATGGCCATAGCCCACACTAACGCCTCATGCGTTATCAGCGACTCGCAGACAGCCGTTCGAAACTACGCCAGCGGCAGAATCTGCCCCGAGACATTGCGGATTCTTAGTACAGGCAAAATTCACGAGGTGGACAAATAAGTACACATCTTGTGGTTCCCTGCCCACACACCGTTAGGTAACGCGGAGGCCAGTCCGAATGAAATGGCGCACAACGTGGCTCGAGGTCTTACGTTCCCAGTCACGTCAGACGAAGCGGCCACCCAAACGGACTTTTCTGCGCCGGTGTGGGAATGGGACGATCGGCTCACTAAATTTAATGACACAATTCAACACTATCGACTGCAAAGGCGGGAGTACCCTCCGCCTCACCCCAAGCTAAATCGGGCCCAGTCCGTTCAGTGGCGGCGGCTACAAACACGCACATACACGAACCCTGTCATCATGCACCACATATATTCTGACGTATATAGTTCTAATCTATGCCAGTACTGTACCACCAGAGCTACTCTTGACCATATCCTATAGGAATGTCCAGCATTAGTCATAAATTCTGGGGTCACGGCCTCCAATGAAGACCTTTGGGCGCGTTGGCAGACTACGCTGCTCAGTTCGCGCCTGGACAAGCTTTGGGCGATCCTGCAGGCCAAGGAAGCTGCCGGGAGACACGGTCTCTCCGCTGGCCCCTAGGTGAGAGCCCATCCCAGCAATCTGCCGGAAATTAATAAAGTCTAAACCTCTCTCTCTCTTTCCGTCGTACCCCCTAACCAACTTTCAACGCTTGCTATACTACACTTCATCTAGCGACAAAGCGACTGCAGCTGATCTGGGGAAACACAGAGACGAAGTGTAGTATCGTAAGGGCGAAGAATAAGACGATGCATGGCCAGAACAAGAAGGAACAACAATGTTTATTCACGAGGCTGCTGTCTTGGTTTTAATACCCTGGCCCGAGGCCGGAGCATGCGCCGTGGCGAGGGGTGGAGGCACGTGTTATCGGTATGTTCTTCGGTGCGTGCACCTGATAATCTACGATATATCACTTCCTCCCCTCTGAGCTAGAACCTATCCGGCGGCTTGCGGGCACGGGTGGAGCGTCGGAGTGGGAGTGGTTCTGCCGTGGACCTTGGACTTGCTGGCTCGATGCCACCGCCAGACGCTTCCTCACCAGGCTCGGACAGACTGGCCTGAAGGGCTTCGCTGCTAGTTGACTGGATGCCGCTGGATGAGAGTGGCAATTGCTCCATGGCCATTGGCGTTTCGCACGGTTCTTTCTTAACCGGTGTCGACGAGTCGCGTGGTCGTACTTGATCGACGTGTCTACGTTGCACCCCCCTTGGCGTGTTAACGGTTAACAATCGCTTGCCTTCGACTGTTGTCACGGTTCCGGGTAGCCACCTTTGACCTAGCTGACTGTACTATCGACTCCACACCTCCCTTCCTGGTGCAAACTCTTTCTTTCCAGAGTTCGGAACTCCGTTGGCGGTAGCCTCCCTCTTCGCCCCGTCTTCCTCTGCCAGGTAGGTGCTCAGGCGGGTCCGTGGTTGGAATCCAAAAAGCCTTTCCGCGGGCGACTGCTCCTCTCGGGTCGGTGTTGTCCTGTAACGCAACAAAAATTTGGCAAGCCGACTTTGCAGCGTTCCCACCCGATTTTTCTTCAGGCCCTCCTTGATGGTGCGTACTGCCCGTTCCGCCAAACCGTTGGATTGCGGGTAGTATGGGGCCGTCGTTACGTGGCGCACCCCATTTTCCCGGAAGAACCGCGCTGTCTCTGCACTGGTGAACTGCGGACCATTATCCGACACGACAGTCCGTGGTATGCCAAATCGCGCGAAAATGCACCTAAGTGTGTCTACCGTAGTCGCTGCTGTCGCCGTCTCCAAGGGCACTGCTTCGAACCACTTAGTCTCGGCGTCGACGAGGACGAAGATCATATGCCCTTCCACGGGACCAGCAAAATCCACGTGTAGGCGGTACCACCGTCTGTTGTTCTTTGGCCAGTTTGCCGGGACCTGCGCTGGGGGCATGGGCAAACACTGCACGCATTGGGGGCACCGTTTTGCAAGCCTTTCAATTTCACCGTCTAGCCCTGGGTACCAGAAAATTGAGCGCGCGAGGTTCTTCATTGCCGTCATGCCTGGGTGCGTATCGTGCAACTCTTTCAAAACAAATTGCCGGGCAGCTTTAGGCAGAACCACACGGTGGCCCCAGTAGAGTATCCCGTTACTCACGGCCAATTCATGCCTCCGTACAAAATACGGTTGGTACTGCTGTTCCTCTGAACCGAGACGCCTTGGCCAGCCTTGCAAGATCCAAGTCTTCACTTGCTGAAGTACGTCATCTTTGCTGGCGTGGTCTGAAATACTCTGCGCAGACAAAACAAAATCATCCATAGCCTGCGCATGCAGGACATATTCGGCTAGTTCATTTTCCCAGCCAATATCGCGAACCGGTAATGGCAACCGGCTTAGAGCGTCGGCATTTGCATTTAGCTCTCCTTTTCTGTATTCGAAGTCGTAATGATAATCTGCTAAGAGCAGCGCCCAACGTTGAATGCGGGCCGCTGCCATTTGCGGAATGGGTTTATCTGGACCTAGCAAACCAGTCAGAGGCTTGTGATCGGTCACCAGAGTGAACTTGTTGCCAAACAAATAATCTCGAAATTTTACAACGCCGAAGACCAGCGCTAGTGCCTCCTTTTCCAATTGTGAATAATTACGTTCCGCCGACGTTAGAGTTCTCGAGCGCAACGCTATGGGATGATCCACTCCTTGTATGCAGTGCGACAAAACTACGCCTATACCCTCGGCCGACGCATCACACTCAAGCCGCAAGGGTCTTTGGGGGTCGTAATGCACAAGAAAGTTCGCCCTTCTCATGGCGCGCTTGGTTTCTTGGAATGCTGTTCTCTGTGCGGGCCCCCAACACCACAGTGCTCCTTTAGACAAGAGTCGGTGTAACGGGGTCAAAGTGGACGACAAGTTCGGTAGAAATTTGGAATAGTATGTGACCAGTCCTAAGAATGATTTAAGCTGGCTTACCGAAGTCGGTGGCGGTGCCACTAGCACTGCTTCCAAATTGTCCTGCAGTGGGTGGAGGCCTTTTGCATCGATTCGGTGCCCTAGAAATACCACTTCTTTCTCCCGGGCGAGCGCTGTTTTGCGTCATTAGTTCAGCCAAGTGTACTAATCGCACGTTCGAGTTGATGATCCTATTCCTATAGTACCGTAGGCTCTCTGAACCCAAACAAGTATCGACGTCTGCGAATGTGACAAACACACTCTTAAAAAAATTTAGTAAAAATGAAGCAACAGCAAGGAAATAGGTAGTAACTGCAGCGGTTACTACCTTTCTTCGACCGTTGCTACCCTTTTGCTACCTGTTTACTACCTACGTTAGTAAACAGTTACTACCTGCAACCGTTACTAACATTTTGCGACCTCTTTACTACCTACGGTAGTAAACAGTAAGTGAAATTAAAGAAGTAGTAACTGCAGCCGTTACTACCTCTCTTGTTCCGTTACTACCTCTTTGCTACCCGACTTTTGACTACCTATTCCAATATAGTGTGTGAATGCGATTCTGATAATTTATGAGAGGAATCGTCTCGACGTATAATAATTACACAGAAAAATGACGCAGAAGGTATCCATAGATCAAGAAAATACATTTTCTTTAAATTATGCAACAGACATATGTAAACGTCATTATGATATTGTCGAAACGAAGAAGTACAAGTTAACGAACCATAAGCAAGTGCTACACGTATCGTAATAGACAATCACAACAAACTTGGCAAATTACAGCACATATTTCCAAGACCGGCATATCAAAATAACTAGACGGTCACAATCAGCCTCGAGGACAGTCACAGGTAATCCACTGCAGTGTATCTCCAAATATTATCATTGTTTGGGCCGTAAAACCCCCAAAACTATTATTACCTTTTAAACGCTGATATATTAGTCGGAAAAGCATTCAAATGCACTGAGAGTGAGTTCTGTACATTGTTCCGGTTACTGTACATAATGCCATTTTGTGGCCATTTTATAACAAATATAAGTTATAACTTTTTATAAGCAAGGCTAATTAAAAGTCTTGTGCTACGTCCCCAAACATACGTAAGCAGGTAGTATAATATAGTGCTATAGGTTTACATTTCTTAAAATTCATCCTGAAACGCAAGTGCTCCCCTGTAACAAACATGCCCCTGCAAAGTAGGGGCTATATATACCCCGCACTTACTTCTTAGTACATGTATACGTAAAGAATAGTGAACCTCTTTAGTCTATGCATTCTTTGCATTCATGGCGCACCCCGCTTCTTACCCTAAATTGTCTAGTTGTAAGACATTGATTAGCCAACACTAGCAGTGGAAAATATTATGCCAAAATTAATGAACTACGTTGTATCGGTTACTACTTTTTTTCTTGAAACCTTTAAAAGTTACTACCAATGGGCGGTAACGGCTAGGGTACAGTAACAGTTGCTAACTGTTGGTAGTAAGAGTAGAGTTAGTAACTGTTACCACCCTTGCCGTTACTAACTGCGCTTACTACCAAGGCTGTAACATATGTGACAAACCGTTGCTACCCCAAAGTTAGCAAGTACTAACCACCTTTTTTCTGAGAGTGCAGAACAGATGCTTGAAAAATTAGAATTGCTGCACAAACTTGAAGGAAAACAAGGGAGACAGGAAAGCTTGTTTCCTTCAACTTTGTGCAGCAATTCAATTTTTCAAGTATGAATCAACTAGTCTGCAAAAAAGTATTGCAAGAACAGATGCATCACACAATTACACAATCTAACCGAGAAATGATCACAAAATCTAAATAAAGCCAAACGCAGTAACCGTGTGCCCTTTATCACTGCACGGCTTTCCGGAAAATAGGCTTGGAGACGAAACGAATGACTAACCTGTACTAAGGTTAATGTGATGGTAATTGTGTGTGTGTGTGTAAGCATGTGATCATAAAAAAGCATTTAACTACTTTAATCCCGAAGCAATCGAAACTACGATGTGACTAGAAGGCATACGGCTCAGAAAATGTTGAGTTATATTTGACAACCAGGAATTTTTCAGTGGGTTTGGTGCACTAGCGTTTGTCCAGTTTCTCTGTCAAATTCCGGTCACCGCAATCATTTGTTCTTGCTTCGCAACGCGACGTTGTAAGAACTACGCCACCAGAGTGGCGCAGTGTGAATCGCATTGTTTGGTAGAGATCATTAAAAGTGCATGTCACATTACAACACCAGCCATTTGTGCCATGCTTCTGAAAAAGCATATTTCTAATGCGACTGCATGTTCGCGTACTCGAACGTCGAAGGCGTGAGGTCGTTCGGGCTTTTAGAGCCGTAAGGGCGAAGTCGCACATTACATCACAACATTTCTTGAAGAACACCACCTGCTGTCGCCATTACAGCACGGATTTAGAAAAAAAATGTCGACCACAACGAAGCTAGTCACAACAATTCATGAGTTCACGTCGCCGCTTCATACGGGGAATCAAATTGATGCTATTTTTTAGATTTTAGTAAAGCCTTCGATCTTGTCACGCATAGCAAACTCATTTCTAATTATATTCTAGGTCTACCTGTTAGCCTCATTGACTGGATCCGTTCTTACCTTCACAATCGCAAGCAGTATGTTGAAGTAAATGACTGCATGTCTGGTATTCTACCAGTATTACCCGGAGTTCCTCAATGCAGTGTTTTGGGACCTATTCTCTTTCTGGTGTATATAAATGACATTGTTAAATCAATAGACACATCATAAGTCCACATAAAGCTTTTTGCAGATGACTGCATATTTTCAAACTATTACTGCTCATAATGACCACAAATGCCTGCAATCACACCTTTGTGCCATTTCTAAGGGATATGAAGATTGGTCAATGAAATTAAATAGTGATAAATCAGTTGTCATGCATGTAACAAATAATAAACACCGTTTTAATTATACGTATTCTCTCAGCAACTGTTAATTGACTGAGGTTAACGAATATAAATATTTGGGCGTCACAATTACAAGCGACATTAATAAAACATGGCCTATCTGCTCCTTGTGCCCGTGTCTCAGTATTTTCAATTTGTTTTCCTGGAAATTCTGGGAGCTGCCGCTCCCTCCTTTGCGGTGATGCTTCAGGACACACCTGAGAATGTTCCAGGCGTGCAACTGTCGTGCCGGGCTTCGTCGTTCAGAAAGCGTGGCAACGCGTCGAGCGACACGGACAGCGAAGCAACCGATTTGTACTCGGACGGCTTCGAGTCATCAGATGATGACTTCACGGTCGTCATGAATTGAACTACAAAACGAAGACTGCTGCGGCGACATCGTCGGCAAGTGTTTCCACCATTAAGACGGCGCCACAGTGGTGGCCGCACACTGTGCTGTTCATGCCCGAAGACCCTGCATCTAACTTGCGACTGCTCAACAGGCAAGTTCCTTCTGTGCTTCTTGAGGAAACCGCACCGAATGAGATCAAATACGTGAGGATCAATGCACAGAAGAATGTCATTGCTGTAGAGGTTATGCACCGTAACGCGCCGCAAAGCCTACGGCAAATAACAAAAATCGGCAACGTGAAAGTTCGGCCAATGGTTGCTACAGGTTGTAATGGCACTGTAGGCGTCATTTATGATGTGGATCTTTCCATCCCAGCTAATGACCTGCCAATACTAATAAAGCCAGCGACAGAAAGCACCCGCATCACGCACATTACCAGACTCGGCAACTCACGCTGCTTGAGGCTTGTGTTCGAAGGAGACAGCCTTCCCTCGTATGTCAAAGTTGGCCATGTTCGCCATTCAGTGCGTCCATACGTACCGAAGCCACTGCAATGCTACAAGTGTTTCAAGATGGGACACTTAAAAGGTGTCTGTGAGAACAAAGTTGTGTGTCCCCGGTGCGCTGAATCTCACCCAAAAGATGCCTGCGGTGCCACCGAGTTACGATGTCCGAACTGCCATGGCGCTCATGAGGCCTCATCCAAAGATTGCCCGCGGGTGCGAAACGAGCACGCGGTACTCAGGATTATGGTGCGGGACAATTCAATGCACAGGGAAGCTGCCGCTACACTACGCCGACGACGGCGTCGCGGGCATAGACCATCACGGAAAAACTGCTCTACCCATA